AAATTTTATGTTTCTTATTTAAAGTATGTTGTTTGAAGTAAAATTTATTATTTAAACTCTATGTATAGGAAAATATTGAAAGAGAAATTTAGTGAACAAAAACAACTTCTGGGTTGAAGTAGCGAGTTATTATTTATTTGTGTATTATACATATGTTTAAGTAAGTTTAATAAGTACCCTTTAAAATGATAATACATGTATTTCCCTCTGCCTTCAGATCAAAGCAAGAGGAAGCATCGCTCAGTCAGGAGCCCATGTGTTGTCCATTAAACAAGGAGAGAGTAAGTACTTCCAGGATTTCCTATTTTTTTTTTTCCTATTTTCCTATTTTTTCTCTCAAATTGTCAAATCCTAAACGTTTTAGCAAGATGAAGCTATTTCTTACATTGGAGGAAATGGTCACCAGCTTTCTTCCATCAACCAAAGTTGAGGAAGCTGATAAAAGAAGGATACTAGGTTCATTTTAGTCCATTTAGAACTTTTTTATAGCATTTCTATATTGTAAATTTTATTTCTAAAGTAAAATATATTCATTTTATTAAATTTTTTAAATGCAGAAAATAATAGAAAAATGCAGAAAATCTCCAAAGAAAAATTTTACTCTGTATGTTTTTGTATTAGTTTCCTATTGCTTCTGTAGGAAGCTCTCTGGCTAAAAACCACACAAATTTATCATCTTATAATTCTGTAGATCAGAAGTCTTACAGGCTAACATCAAGTTGTGAGCAGAACTACATTCCTTCCGGAACTCTAGGAGGTTACTTGTTTCCTCACCTTTTCCATCTTCCAAAGACCTCCTGCATTCCTTGGTTTATGGCCTCTTCTTCCATCTTCAATGCCAACAACACACCATCTTCAAATCTCTCTTATACTCCTGCCTCTCTCTTTTAGATCATACTCTCCTTCTAGATTTTCTTGAATCATAAATATCCATTGATATCTGTTATCCCAGGAAGAATAACTAACTTTTCAAGAAATAATCTATTATGAAAAGATAAGTACATTTAGTCTCTTTATTTGTTACATGTCCCCAGGCTAAATCTCATAAGTAGCTTCCTTTTTTCTGTTCATTTGAATAGTTATAGGCTATCATTTTACTAAAGCAATATTTATTAACAAAGCATATTTAGAAAGATCAAAAAGCCCATTCACCCAAGGTGAGCCAGTACTTCCAAGAAAAAATAAAGAATATGTATTGTAAAATCTCTCTTGCTAAAAGTTTTTTTTATTGCTTAAAAAAATTGAATTCAGGCACTCAAATATGGACAGTCCCTCTAATTCTCCATTTAATCATTGATTTTTATGGGATTGATCATTATATTGGTTTTTCTAGAGCAGGTAAGATTGTTCCTAATAGCATATCAAAAATCAAACTGCCTCCTAAGGCAATTTCTTCAAAATCAGTTCCTGTAATAGAGTTTAAATTCTATATAGTATACTGAGTATCTTGAGAGGTGAAATGGGGAGAAGGAAGTGTCTCTCTAAGAAAAAATACACTTCATTTTATTTGATGATGACTATGTAAATGGTTGCTTTTCCATTTGTCTTTGATTTCTGGGAAACTCAGTGTTAAATTTAAGCACTCTAGTGTTTAACCATCTGTTATAGCTTTTTTTTTTTTTTAAAGGGAACTTTATTTTTATTTATTTATTTATTTTTGGCTGCATTGGTTCTTCATTGCTGTGCATGGTCTTTCTCTAGTTGCGGTGAGCGGGGGCTACTCTTCATTGCGGTGTGCGGGCTTCTCTTACTGTGGAGCACGGGCTCTAGGCGCGCGGGCTTCAGTAGTTGTGCCTCATGGGCTCTAGAGCGCAGGCTCAGTAGTGGTGGCGCACAGGCTTAGTTGCTCTGCGGCATGTGGGATCTTCCGGGATCAGGGCTCGAACCCATGTCCCCTGAATTGGCAGGTGGATTCTTAACCACTGAGCCACCAGGGAAGCCCTGTTATAGCTTCTTAATAAAATTTATTCCTGCCTCTGTTTAACCCTGCTTGAGAAGTCCAATTTCATATGGTTTCAGTATCATTGTTTCAAATTTATTTTGACCCTGCTGTTTTTGTGTATTTTCACCACAAGCTGCCCTCAGATCTTCTATAGATACAGGAAGGCTATAGTTTTTAAAGAAATTTATGCTACAAAGATAAAACAGAACATTTTTGAGAAGATTAAGCAGATACATGAATTAAACACTATGTAATTCACACAGAAAGTAACCACTAAGATAAATGCATTGAATTCTTTTATAAAAATCGGAGGCATACTGTTTTGTATGTGATTATTTGTACCTGTATCTCGGCTGTGTTTTAAATGGCCTGAAGGTAGAGACTATGCTGCATTCTTTGACTTGGCCTCATGCATATGACAAGAACTGTGCTGACTGGATCATAGATAGAGATCATTAAAGGTGTCTAAAAGTTCTTCTCTCTTGAATTCTTAACGTCTTTTTTTTAATTTAAAAATAGAGACATTCACTAAATGTTCTTTTCTACTTCCGCAGAGGAAATGAACAATTTAACCTACATCTTTAAGGGAAAATGTCATTAGTTCAGCATATATTTATTGAATACTAATGCACACAAAATGGTATAAATGCAAGTCTTACTTCAATATGCTCCAAATGTAAATAAGTTAAATAATTTGAGAACCTCTTCTTTATAAAATGAAACTCTTCCCTCTTCCTAATCTATGATCTTGAACTTTCTTTACTCTCCAGTGAAAGGGGTATTTTCCTTCTCCTTTCAAGTGGAATCAGACATTGCTCCTACAGCCCAGTTGCTTATTTATACTATTTTACCTAATGGAGAAGTTATTGCAGATACTGAGAAACTCGAGATTGAAAACTGTTTTCCCAATAAGGTGGGTGTTTTGTTTAAGTCCAGTCCTTTTCTTCATCTCCCCTTTTGAAGTATGGAAAATAAGGACCTTATGTACATTTAAAAACTGCCATGTAGTGCTCCTAAAACTTTCTGCCAAAGGACCTCTAAAGGAAAGATTGATGCTAAGCCCCGGGAGGTCTAGAGGAGTAGTTCAAAGCAGGTGGCCATTAGCACAATTTTTTCTCTTGCTTTATCTGAAAATTCATGTGGAATTCAAAATATATTCTACAATTAACCTTTAATAGTTTTAATTTTGAAATGTTTGTTCCCCAAATTTTCAATTAAAAATGATGCTTCACAGTGATGTCAGTTTTATTCTCTCATATCCCCCTGACACGCCTCCATGTACTACTGCAGAAATCAGTAATTTATTGTGAGTTAAATTCACTTTGAATTTGAAACAGAACAGGGGTATATGTGTGTATCCCATTTTGAGAAACATAGCCTGGGCACTCTAATAATGACTATAGCATAAAAATCTAAGTTGCATATGGGATCTTCTTATATTTCCAAAGAATGCATAGCTGTAATGAGAAGCCTACTGAGATATTAATAAGCTTTATCCCAACAGAATTTTCTGGGTAATCTTAACATTAACAATCAACTAGGATCCACAGACTTCAGATATATTTTTTAAAATATACCTACAAGGACTCTGACATGAGTTTTATGAAGATTAAAACAATATGCATTTACAGGAAGTGAACATTTCTGCAATGAGAATTACATTTAGATTGTCCTTTGTAATATACAATGATCTAAGAAAATACACAGTGGATTCTGAATAAATTTTCAACTCCATCTTACTAAAGAATGCTATTAAACCTGGACAGATGTCCAATAGCATCATTTGTGTTCTGTTTGGATGTTCTGTGTGTTTCATATAAACCTAGAAGAGACTTTTGCTTCAAGCTTCAATGTCTTTATTGCTAATCATGGGTAGTTAGTTTTTTGTTAAACCTTGGAATGCCCATCTTATGCCACAGCTTTCAGCACACTTTACTCATCCCAGTAGTGGCTTCACTCTGGTGCAAAAACATATGACAGCTTCTGTGTCATATCATAAAACTTCCACATAGAATCAAAAGTCCATGGACATTATATTCAATCACTTCACATCAAATATCTTTTCACTTATCATTGATCAGAGATGGAGATAAGCTATGATAAATATAGATGAAGATTTTCGCAGTATTCAGAAGAAAGTTGACTGTGTGTTTAAAAGTTAGAGAGTTACTAAAGTTAACAATTAAGGACCCTAGAAGTGAGACATCCTGACAGGATGATGAGCAGAGTAAGAAGTGGGTTGAGAATGTGAGGAAAGATCCAGGTCTGTCTGAGACCTGTGTTTCTTTAAACCAATATACTTTAAATAATTTTTTGATCTTTGTTGGAAAGAAGAAACCTGTTTTCTATTCACCATCCATATACCACTTTCTTATTTTAATAATGACAGGTTTATTATACAGATTAAATACTATGTAACAGTTTAAATTGTTGTTCCTAACTGGAAATAATTATTCATTAAGGATAACATTGATTAATATGGATAGGTACAGGCTCTCAAAATATGCCTTAAAGTTCTTTTCTGGTTCTCATATCAGTAGAACATGTTACATTTTCAAGCATATCCATTTCTTGGTTAGGAGTATTTTCAGTGATTATAATCTCAAATAACTCACTTGTTCATTTGGTATGGACATTCACAAACATATTTTAATGAACTTAAATTTTCTAAAAATAAAAACAAACATATTTAAAATAGAATTCTCCAAAAGCGGTGTTTTCATAATATATTGAACTATAGAGATGAATACTACTGCGCCTTGAGGATAAATCAATTAATTTTTTTCATATATGTCTTATGATATACATGAATCCAAAGTGTTACATTAATTCAATAGACCACATAGCAGATTATCATAGTTAAATCCAGCAATCCAAGTCAAATATTATTTAACGGAATGTACTATTTCATTGCAGTCCAAATCAGCTTTCAGTTCAAGAACCTGGAAGCTTAATGGATGCTACTGCAGTAACTAAATTCCAAATTATTTTATAATTTACTCAAGATTCTACTCAAAAAATTCTAACATAAACATAAGGAACCAATAGATTCACTTACCGATGAATTTCTACTGGCCAAACCAGTCAAAACTCTGAAAAAAATTACGCACATTTTTCATTATTTTGTAGTTCTCATTCTTTATTCACAGTCCTTTGAATATTGTCAATGAATTAACTCTTAGGATGCATATTAGATGTTTAGTTTTTTAAATTAATGAGTAAATTTCTGATCCTGATAAACAGTACTACACCGCTATAGAATGCCAGGTGATTAAGAGGGCCAACTGAAGGAGACTTCGTTGGCTGGTCTTAGAGGTGGAATAGGATTTTTCACAGCCCCGTGCAAACTGCACACATTCATCACAAAAACACTGCATGGAGATAGGTATGTATCTTTGTTAGCGTGTGCATTCCAATTCCCACTCAAGATTCTCTTTTACTGTGATCAACATCAGTTTATATTTCACTGGTTATAAAGAGAGTGGGAAACCTGAGTTAATCGAACCACATTTCCAGTTTATTCCAGAGATGGTTAACTGGTGGTAGTCAGGCAGCTTCACCTCTTAACCCTTCTCTAACATGGATGAAGAGAAAGGAAGTGTGGAAAGGACTAGTCCTACCCTGGGGTAGGAGAGAGTTTTAAGATTGTAACAATTAGAAAATGTGTGGCTATAATCATATCCTCTTTACAGGTAAATTTGAACTTCTCTTCAGCCCGGGGACTGCCAGCCTCAGATATCAACCTGAAGGTCACAGCTGCTGCTTACTCCCTCTGTGCCCTCCGTGCGGTGGACCAGAGTGTCCTGCTAATGAAGCCTGAAGCTGAGGTCTCACCTCAGTCAGTGAGTCCCATTTCAGTCTTGCATATCAGAAAATGCACACATGATATGACCATTTTTGGAAGCTGGAAGTTATAACTGCAAAGGACAAGTTCTTCACAGTGTCAGGCATAGTGTAGTAAGTCACATATGAGTTTGGATTCAATTCAGTTCCAAAAAAGACATTGCACAGGGTGCTTCACACAGATCATCTTACTTCATTCTCTGCTATAACATATCAAAGAGTGAGCAGTCTCGTTCACTACTACATTCCCTGTGCCTAGCACAGTCCTTACATGTAAAAGACATTTCTTTTTTTTGTTTTTTGGCGGTGGGGGAGGGCCACACTGCATGGCTTGCGGGATCCTAGTTCCCTGACCAGGGATTGAACCCACGCACTCGGTAGTGAGAGTGTGGAGTCCTAACCACTGGACCACCAGGGAAGTCCCTCAACACATTTTTAATGAACGAATAAATGAATAATAATTCCTTAACGTGGATATTATTACCTTAATTTTATGAATGAAGAAAACACAGCCAGCATAAATTAAGCAACTATAGAAAGAACATGCCAAAACTATATATATATATATATATATATTTTTTTTTTACGGTACACGGGCCTCTCACTGCTGGGGCCTCTCCCGCCGCGGAGCACAGGCTCCGGACGCGCATGCTCAGCGGCCATGACTCACGGGCCCAGCCGCTCCGCGGCATGTGGGATCTTCCCGGACCGGGGCACAAACCCGTGTCCCCTGCATCGGCAGGCGCACTCTCAACCACTGCGCCACCAGGGAAGCCCCAAAATTATATTTGAAAGGTGGGATTTGAACCAAATTTTATTCAATGCCATGTCTAACACACCACAATTCAAGATAGTATGTGAAATGCCAGGTTTTTAAGTCTTCTCTAAAAAAACAGGCACTTACTCATTGGTTTTAAGTATGGACAAAAGAGAGTTTCCAACCAAACTTGTCTTTTAAAGATGTTTCTTATAATGAAGAACTTCCAAAAAGGCCCAATAGTTTACAATCTTCATTGTCCATTTATTTATTTAACGAATATCCCCTGCGTCTGGATTACGGGATAGATACTGCTCCAGGAATAGGAGTTTTTATGGTGAACAATCAGATGTGGTCTTTGACCATTTTAGACGTATAGTCTTGTGAGTTATTAAACAAGCAAGCAACAAAAGCATATAAACATATAATAGTTCTAAATTTTGATAAGTATCATTTAAGGAATAAACAGGATGTTGAGCTAAAGAAAAGAGTTGAACAATTTTTGATATAGTCATTAGTGGTGTCTTCTTAGATTGTCAGATAATGGGGGGTAGGGGCAGGCATTACAAAGAATGAAAGCAGCGTGCCTGTAGGTCTTGCGGTCAGAATAAGTCTGCAGTGTTCAAAGAGGAAAAGGTAATGACCTTATACGTAATGGTGAGAGAAGAGGATGGTAGAGGTGGTAGGTGGGATGGAAAGTAAAGAAGATCATGACAAGTACTGTGAGTGGAGTTAGGAGTTGACAGCAAATGTAGTGGTAAATCACTGAGGAGTTTTAAGCAGGAGAGTGATTTAGTGATTTAGATTTATTTGGTAAGAAGATCTTGTTTGCCACTGAGAGTATGGGAGCAAGAATGAAAACAGTTAGGAGGCTATTGTAGTAGCTTAGATAAGAGATGACAGCAGGTCCGCATGGAGTCACTGTGTGTTTAATGAACACTATATGACTGAGCAGGTAGCCTTATGCTAGGCTCTGGGTGAAAACTGAACTGGAATGGATTTATTTCTAGGTTACCCCTGTACCTAGTTTTTTTCCAAGTTAAAATTGGTCTTAAAATAGTAGACTTAAAAAAAAAAACTTGGTAAGAACTTAATCATATAAAATGGGAAAAGGGAATGAATTAAGTATTTACAGAGGTTGTTACTGGGTGATGGGTATGAATGACTTTTATTCTTTCATGATGTTTCTCTGTACTGTCCACATTTTTGCTTTCTTTTAAAAGTAGGCGTTTGGGCTGGGAGACAAAGAGACTTGAGTTTTATACTTACTCAGCCAAAATGCGCTGTGAGTCTTTGATCAATTAATTTGATATCTTATGTATTAATTTCTTTTGTACAAGAAGAGCATTAGGATCCATAACCCTTAATATCTCCCCATGATTTCTGTGTCACTTTTTATAATGTTGGTATGGGAGTGTTAAATAAGCACCGTGATCTCTTAAACTCCAGATTGAACATTATCACACTCAAAATAAAATAAAATAAAATAAATAAGAGTTTTTCCTTTGTTCTCTCTATTTTGCAGGTCTATGATTTGCTACCAGTAAAGAGCGTCCTTAGTGTTAGATATGGAGGTCCCATGAATGAAGATGGGGAAGAATGCATCAATGCAGAAGATATAACTCACAATGGAATCATTTACACACCAAAGCAGGTCCTGAGTGATGATGATGTTTACAGTATCTTTGAGGTAATTCTTCTTCCTAAAAACATAACCAAATTTGATTTCTAAGTCTTTGTTAAGATGGAGAACAAATAGATTTCTAACCTCTAAAATCTGATCTTCCTCTCATTCACCAAAAAGAAAACCTGTGATTAACAGAAAAATATTGAAATCTCAGAGGCATAGAGAACTTTGTATACACACAGAGAGTCAATCATGAATTTCTCTGGCATTTTAAACAGCAAGGGGTATACTTTTAGGGTCACAACTTTAACCAAGTTGATCCCAAAACTAGTTATCACTGTCATATTCCCCTCTCAGTGATTCTCAGAGATTCCAATATGTGAGAAAAACAAAATATTTCCCATAGCACCTCTGACAGCCTTGGAAAGGTGAGTACCCTATTGGCAGCCATTATAATAGTCATTTTCACAAAAATAAATGATTGAGTAAATGACTAAATTCACAAAGTACGTTACTTCAGCCAACACCTTCAGTGCAATAAAATTTCAGGAAAACTGAAAGTAGCTGTTCATAAAGAAAAGACTTACAAAACTTGGAGTAGAAACGTTAGCTTGCCTTAGGTACGTTAGCTCAACTGTGTATCTTTAATCAGGCAGAGTTACGAAAAGGAAGTTTATCCAGGTTGTGAGATTAAATCTTATCTCTACCAAAAATGACTGAAAACTCTCATTATACCTTGAGGAAAGCATACATCAGCTTAGCTGATGAGGTCTGCAGCTTCGCTGAGAACAATTTAAACCTCCCTCTTCTGGAGCCTCCAGAATCATAAATCAGACGGTGGTAGAGGGAGAAAAACAAGACTCGGTTTATTAGCTAACTGCAGCATCTTTAAACACTTCTTTCTGACTTCTTTCTCCCCATTCCATATCACTGCCACCACTGACAACTGTGCTTCAGTGTCCCACAGTTTCCCAAGTACTCTGAGATAGGACAGCAAGTAGTATTTGTGACTAATATCAAAGAAAGAGGAAGCTTGGAACAGGGGGGCTCTAGGAATCAGGCTACTGTGGACATCTGCGATTGTGTTTTGCATGCAGAGATTCAAGATACTTAAAAGACAGTGAGAAAGAAAAAAGAAAAGGATAAATCACAAAAGGGATGAGTTGAACATAGATATTCAGGCAAAGGAATATTTTCCAATAAAACATAAACAAAACAATATTTTCCAATAAACATAAACAAAACAAAGTGTACTGACTGTGAAGAAAAATCCCCAGGACTTCCCTGGTGGCATAGTGGCACAGCCTGTCAACACAGCAGACACGGGTTCGAGCCCTGGTAGGGGAAGATAACACATGCCATGGAGCAACTAAGCCCATGTGCCACAACTACTGAAGCCTGCACGCCTAGAGCCTGTGCTCCACAACAAGAGAAGCCACTGCAATGAGAAGCCCACGCACCGCAACAAAGAGTAGCCCCCGCTCTCTGCAACTAGAGAAAGTCTGCGCACAGCAACAAAGACCCAACGCAGCCAAAAATAAATAAATAAATAAATAAATCTATTTAGAAAGAAAAATCTCCAATATGCAGCCCTACAAGTTCAATGGAAAAGAAACAAAAAATTACTGTCTGCCACAAAGTTAATGTTTGGTTTGCGGGGGTGAAGGAAGGAAAGAAAAACATCCAAAATTAAAATACTCAAGTTTCTTGGAGGCAAAAGATAATTAAAGAGGCATCAGCACATAGGAGACAAAATTCAGAAATAGGAATCAGAAGTGGATCCTAATCCCAGCTCCCATTCACTAACTGGATGATCTGGACTTTCTTTGACCCCATTTTCATACTTATAAAATACCTCTCTTCTCCATTGTTTGGAATTTTCATGATGATCCTATGAGCTATATGTATAATAATAGTATAATACAAACGTAAGGAAATATTCTAGTCTCCAGACTGGATTGCCAGTATGCTTTAATAATTATTTTTCTTCCAGTCTGTAGGATTAAATATTTTTACCAACTCAAAAATCCACAAGCCACATTTTTGTCAGCTGCTTCAGCCATATCCAGGAGCATCTATGATCTATGCAGGAGGTAAGGGTGAGAATTATTTATCTGCTAAAATAATAGAAGAAAAGTGATGCTTTGCTGCGTTGGGTTGGGATAAAAAGCCATTTTTTAAAGTACTGAATGTTGTAACTCCGCAGCAACTTCTCGGTAAATTTTCTTCATATAATACTTTTCCCCAGAAAAAATAATTTTTAAGCCATTATTATTTCTTTCCCTCTCTCTCTCTCTCTGTCTCTCATCCAAATCAAATACTTTTCTGTTATAGTCTTCAATAGTCTTGGTACTTTAAATCCTCTTTACCCACTGTGGCTTCAATACCTAAATTAGTCAGGATAAGATACATTATATTGCAGTAACAAACAAACCCCCACGTCTCAGAGGCTAAGTATATAACAGTTTATTTTTTCCTTTCACAAACACTGCTTGTGAGTCCAGTAGCTGTTCAGAACACCTCCTGACCAGTCATTGTCAGGGAGGTTCATTGGGCTTTCATCTTGTGACTCCATCTCCAATGTGCCTTTCAAGGTTACTACCACGGGGAAGAAGGAATAGATTCGCACATGACTTTTATGGCCAGCAGTGGAAGTGGCATATATCTCATTGCCCTACCTGCAAGGGATGCTGAGAAATGTGAAGGATTATATAGATATTGTTTGCCTCTGTCATATTCTTTTATGGAAATCAGAGTGATTTTGACATATTGAACAAAATAGAATAATTCAGCTTTTGGTGAATATACTTAGTCTCTTTGTGTGTCTCAGGTACACCTAGAAAAGAGGAAAAGTTGAAAAGGTTCTAGCTCTGACTATTTTCTTTTCTGCTGCTAACAGGCCTAGAGAAGTGTCTAGAGGCATGCTGGGATGGCTACTAATCCATTTTGTAATAAGAAATTTGGTGGTATAAAGTGTTTTTAAAAAATAAATTAAACACATTTAATACAGAAGAAATTATTTGCCTAGGAAGACAAAGAGTAAAGTTATGAAAGTAGAGGAATGAATAAGAATATTCCCTCCACAGAAACAAATTCGTGTAGTAAAAAAAAAACAAGTTTTCATCATACCTTTATCTGGTATGACACATATAACTTTGAAAATTTGCAGACTCAGGGACTTTCCTGGCTGTCCAGTGATTAAGACTCTTCCACTGAAGGGGACACAGGTTCGATCTCTGGTTGGGGAGCTAAGGATCCCACATGCCACGTAGTGTGGCAAAAAAAAAAAAATTTTGCAGACTCATTTAACATTTTTGAGGCTCAGTTGAAAGTCAGAATGACAACACCAAAGTCACTGAGGTATCATGAGCATAAATTAAAAAAAATATAATCATGATTCCATATAACAGTGTTTTTTGGTTAAAAAAAACTAAAAAACATTATTATTACTTTATTTTCACATCCCCCTTAATACCAACTGTATTTCTTTTCAATCTTAAGTGAAAACATGTAGGTGGAATGATCCAGAAAAACCTGAAAACAAACTACCATCATTACATTCTTATCACAGATATTCTGTAACACTCTAGACAAATTTTACATTTGGTATTCGTCACCTCTCCATTCTTTCCTTTTCCTGTTCAGTTACATCATCTTAGTCCTGTCCTTCATTGTTTCATAACCAAAGTACTAAAAAGCCACTATAATTTACCTTCCTTGCCTTCCATCTTTCTCCACTTCAATCCAGCCTCTAGACCGTGAAAGCTGCATCACCCTTCAACATTGCTTCTGTCATGTCATTTATTTCTCAGACGTAATCGCTACTTCCAGAATTCATAGGTCATCATATTTAAGGTTTTAAAAGAGCATGTTCAATGCTATTATTTTATGTATGTTTATATTTATATATTTATACATACTATCTTTATATGTCTTCTGATCTCTGGCAGGTCAGTTTTTTAAAAAATTAATTTTTATTGGAGTATAGTTGCTTTTATCACTTTTAAAAATCAACCTAACTCCTGCCTCCTTAACAGATCTAACTTATTTGTCCTAACCTTCATGGTGTTTTATTATATAAGTACACCTACTATTTACTCAGCTATGTTAAATGCCCCCACCCTGCCCCGAGATAGACATTCTACTCCTGAGGGGTTTTTTGTTATCCCTTTGGAGCATTGCTTCTGACCTCTGTGTACATACATGTGTAGCTGTTTCCTTGGAATGCCTTCTTCATTCCCCTGTGATTCTCATCCTTTCATGGTCTTCTTAAGTTCTGCTTTGTAAAGTCTTTTCTGGCCAATCTAAAGTTTATTTTCTGTCCTTTATTGAGTCTCTGTTGTCTATAACCCATACTTTATTATATCATTGTTTATGTCTTCATATCTTATTAACTATTAAAAAAAATTCCTGAAATCCTCTTGCTGTAGCTACTATCAATTCCTCTTGTTTGATTCTCACTGCAAATGGAGAACACATGATCATCCTGTCAGGGTATAAGCAGTATTTGTTGTTTTAAATTACTCTTTATTTTTGCCTTCACCAGTTGAAAACTCAGCTTAGGGAGAGCTACATTTGTTTTCACTTCTAGAGAAAAATACAGTTACCTTTAAACCATTTGATGAAGCAATAGGATTTAGCCTTCCAATAGGACACGTAGATGAGTGAACGAAGTAAGAAGCCGGTAGGTTAAATTGTTCTAATAATAAACATTCCCTGAGCATATGATCTTATTCTACTTGATAAATAAGGCAGCTGTAAGAAATTGATAAAATTGAGGCTTATGTTGGGCCCTGTGTGTTTTCTCTCGACAGGTCAATTGGGTCCAATGGGCCCAGAAGTCTCTGCTCTAGCACGTGGAAATGCAGGGATAGCTTATCCAATGGTAGGGAGAGAAAACCCTCCAGCTGTGGAAGTGAAAGAGACAGTCCGGAAGTATTTCCCTGAGACCTGGATCTGGGACTTGGTGGCACTCGAGTAAGTTGTGTGTTGCCCAGAATTGAGTTCATAAAAGGATTTGAATCCTCCTCTATAATTCTGGTGTGATCACTGGTTCCTGATCCTTTCCGTTCTGCTCCGCTCTTTTCTGGTAGTTATTTAGATTCACAGTTCATTTATCTCATAGCTAAACAATGCAATCTTCTTTTTCTAATTTGGTCCTGAGATACTTAAAATAACAGAAAGTAGGAAGCTACCCTCGACCCTAAAAAGAAAAAAAAAAAACTTTCAGAGAACTCATTATGAACACCAAACCTTATATCAAGTTTAACATTTAGCACACTAAGTTTTCATGCTCTAGGATCAGCTGTGGTGCTTGCTAAAGAGGGGACTCATTGACTCTCCTCCTCTTTTTCCCCTCCCTAGCATATCGGGTAGAAGTGAGTTGGCAGTGAAGGTCCCTGACACCATCACGGAGTGGAAGGCTGGCGCACTCTGCTTGTCTGGAACAGCAGGGCTTGGCCTCTCCCCCACCATCTCTCTTACAGCCTTCCAGCCCTTCTTCCTGGAACTCACTCTTCCCTACTCTGTGGTTCGAGGAGAAGCCTTCACACTCAAAGCCACTGCATTCAGCTATGTGTCCCATTGCATTCGGGTAAGGGCACTTCTCGACGTAAGCAAAAGTAGAAGGAAGGAACAAAATCACCGTTCATTACCTAGATTTCCCAGGTAATCTCCTAGTAAGTCATAATTGAACATGATGTAGCCTAATTTTAGAATGGAATAAGTACTAAGAACAAAGCTCCCCAACAGGTCTGAGGTGGTAAGGTTATATTTATTCAGGACTCTGCATTATTTGTGTATTCCTAAATTCAGATATTACTTCCCCCTGATTATTTTTTCACTCTAACTAAAGAAAATATCTCTTCCTTGTGTTGGCACAAGCCTAAATCCTGAGTATTTATCCTGATTCCTGTCAGTTTTTCAAAGTCCTAATGGCAAACATCTAAACTACAAAATATTTGACAGGATTTACCTTGTTTGAACAGTTTCTCAAAGCCTCTCAATTAGTATGCATTGTCCCTTTAAGCTTCTTCCCCCTGTTACTGACCTTTTCCCTGTGTTCTTTCTCAAATTTGTGGGTGGGAATGGGGGACAGGTCAGCGTGCAGCTGGAGGTCTCTCCTGCCTTCTTGGCCATCCCAGTAGAAAAGAATGAAGAATCTCACTGTGTCTGTGGAAATAAGCAGAAAACTGTGTCCTGGGCTGTTACCCCAAAGTCACTGGGTGAGTGGTAATGTTCACAAATCCTACTTCTTACGTTGTAATGATTTGCTTTCCATTCTCACTCAGATGCATGTTTTTTTCTCCTCCTTTGACAATGATCGATTGAAAGAAAACCGTTATAAATATTGGAGAGGCTTAAAAAGAAGAAACCATTCAATATAGAATCACTGCTTAACTCCTTAAGAATCTTATTCCCCAGGAAAGGTGAATTTCACAGCTACTGCAGAAGCCCTGCAGTCTCAGGAACTGTGTGACAATGAGGTGCCCCACGTCCCAGCACCTGGACAGAAGGACACTGTAGTCAAGTCCTTATTTGTTGAGGTATGCGGGTCTACTTTCTCTGAGTCTCAGAGGCCTTATTATGTAAATCACATTATCTAATAGGTATGCGACAGTGACATTTCATTCCCAAGAATATGAATATGTCCACAACTCAAGTTTTCACTAACAGTTTTTCTCCTAAGTGATTGCTTTTTCTCTATCACTATCTACATTCACTATCACTTTTCTTTTTGATTTTTTTTCTTTCAATACAAAGCCTGAAGGAATAGAAAAGGAGGAAACTTTCAACACACTTCTTTGTGCTTCAGGTAAGTGTCAAAAAATAGATAAAATTCTTTTGTTAAGCCACTTGCCAAAGTATATAGTTGTGAAATGCCCTTTGGGGCATGTTTCCTCTGGGGGAAAAAGAGGAAACAAGTATACTATCCCATGTGCAAATCAAAGGACATTTGATGGAGAACAATCTTTTTCTGATAAAGACATAGAGAAGTTAAGAGACTCACCTAATAATGAAGACTAAAGCTGATGACCATAGGACAGGATTCCTTCCAAATACGCCTGTACTTCCCAAACTTCTTCCAACACAATTTTCAAACTATTGAAATATCTTTGTGGCACTAGTACTATTGGTTATTCTGTTAATAGTTGAAGTGTACTCATGTTTTTATTTAAACAAGTTATTTTAAGAAGAACTTTAGGTCATTAACATATATAGAAAACCAATCTTTTTCTATTACACTTAAAACTACCATTTAAATATTCACACAGTCATTAAAAAATTAGTATTAAAATATTCAACTCTGCACTATCTAAAATCATCTAGAGAACAACGCTTAGTCTACAGATCTCTTCTCTTCTCTATATAAGTATCCCCTAATAAGCTCATCTAGTCACAGAACTTCAATAACAACTTTGTACCAGAGACCACAAAATATACATCTTTGGTCCACACCTCTTTCCTAAACTCAGACTCATGTATTCAGCTGCTCACTTATCATCTGCATTTCTAAGCCTGGAGGTCTAAGAGGTATCTCAAGACTAGCATGTTCAAAACTGAACCTCTGCTTAGTCCCCATAAGCCTGCTCCTCCTACAATTTTCTCCATCTCAGATGATGGAAATTCCATTCTTCTACTTGCTGGAGATAAAAAATTTTGGAGTCATCCATTATTATGTCCTTTCTCTTCTACTCCACACCCAATCCATTCCCAAATCTAGCTGGTTGAACCTTTAAATATATCTGAAATCCGTCCACTTTTCATCATGTCCACTCTTACTCTAGACCTTCCTCTCTTGGACCAACTCAGTCCCCTCCTAACTGGACTCCTGGTCATCTCCCCCTGTTCCTATACAACAAGAGGGATCATTTAAAGCATATTTCAGATCATGTCCCTCCTTTGTTCAAAGTTTTCCACGAGTCTCCCATATCCCTCAAAGTTAAAGACTATGTCTCCAGCATCACCTACAAAGCCTTTCTATCCTCATGACTTCATATCCTGTTACCCTCTCCCCTACTCACCCTGCTCCTCTAATCTGATTTTAGAACACACCCAGCATGCTCTAATCTCTGAAGTCTTTTCACATTTTGTTCCTTCTTCCTGCAAGTCTCTTCCCCTAGATATCTATAAATTTTACTCCCTGACTTACTTAGTGTCAGTCACCTATGATTTTTTAATCAATGAGCTTTATCATTGGGAACCTTCTCCCCACACCCTGTACTTCCTGATTTGCCTTGCCTCACTAGCTCACCCATATAAGCACTTAATCTGCTTCATTTTTTTCTATAGAACTTACCGGTATCTATCACACTAAATATTTATTTGTTATTTTATTACTCCCATCAAAATGAAAACTCTAGGATGTCGGGAAATTTCTTTTGCAAATTGCTATATCATTGCACTTAAAACGGAATCTGGTACATAATACAGATTATGGTACGCACTTAATACATACTTATGGAGTGAATATGATTTTTTTACAACCACAGCTATAGTAGAAATTAACATAAACAATGAAGAGAAAGAAATAAATATAACATAAGGTATACACTTATAAGGAAATCTATAGAAATTTAACACAAATATATATGATTAATATGAACTTCACTGTGAGATGAATTGTGGCTTTAGGAGAAACTTGGATTGCATCAAAGAGATTATATAATGACCAAGAGAAATGAGATGTTGGATCTTGATCATATAGATGAAAAAAATTCAAATAAATCTAGAACGTTTCTCTCATTTTTCCCTCCCTTATATATATTTGTCTTGTTTCATTAGAAACCGGAGAACCTGAAAAGTTGTCACTAAAACTTCCTTCAAATGTGGTTGAAGGCTCTGCCAGGGCAACACATTCAGTTTTAGGTGAGTCTCCCAGCCCGAAAGAAGCAGTTGTCCATCCCCATAATTCTAGTGCATGGGGCCTCACCATCCCTTACTAATGAACTGTCTGAGTCTAGGCGTTGGATTGAGAGAAAGAGCACCAAGCTAAGGACTGCACTGTTGAATAGATGTTGTGCTACATCTTATACCTTGATACACTCTGAAAAGTAAAAAGGGCCATCTCTTTGTGCCCTCATCTTCAAGAGACTGGCTAGGTAGTGATGCTTCCTAATAGATTGAAAAATAATTGTTTTTTACCAGATTTGTGGCTCATCAGAAAGATGTATCCTACCATTCAGATTTTTTCCTGTTTTTTCCGTCCTTGAACTATCTACTTTATTGTTCCCTCATTTCTCTTTCCTTTCTATTTCTTGTTTTCCTTCACCTCTTATGCTTTCTTTTCCTCCCCTTTATATATGATTTGACTTCTCACTTAGTTAGTAATCTATCTTCTTATCCCAACATAAATCAGCTCTGAGTTCCTCTGATTTTTTTTTTAATATCTTTCATTCCCCAGGTGATATACTAGGCTCTGCAATGCAAAATCTTCAGAATCTTCTCCAGATGCCCTATGGTTGTGGAGAGCAGAATATGGTCCTTTTTGCCCCTAACATCTATGTTCTGAACTATCTGAATGAGACAGGACTGCTGACAGAGAAGATCAAGTCCACAGCCATCAGCCACCTCATCAGTGGTGAGAGATTACCCCAAAAGGAAAAACATTAACTGATTCCCTAAATATCTCCTCCAGTGAACTCAAGTCAACATCCCTTTGATTAAGATTTAATAATTATTGTTGCTGTGATATCCAACAAGTTGTCCCACTATACAACCAGGAAATTCGATGGTATCATCAAGTCTTGGAGACTTCGTAGTAACATAGTAGTTTCCCTGTGACACCTCAACCAGTTTTGAGGAAAACCCTGATTCATTCTCCAATGTCTCTGCTATTTCATAAATCTATGCAAACTTCCTCTTCAGGTTACCAAAGACAGTTGAATTATAAGCACAGCGATGGTTCTTACAGCACCTTTGGGGATCGTCATAGTAGAAGTCAGGGGAACACTTGGTAAGATAATTATTTCCATATGTTCTCTGTAGATCCGCAGTATTTCAGAATTCTGGAAATAGCTATTCTCTGATACCTGGAGTTCATGCATAGAAATTTGTTATCCTTTTTTTTTTCTTAATTGGAGTATAATTGCTTTACAATGGTGTGTTCATTTCTGCTTTATAACAAAGTGAATCAACTATACATGTACATATATCCCCATATCTCCTCCCTTTTGAGTCTCCCTCCCACCCTCCCTATCCTACCCCTCTAGGTGGTCACAAAGCACGGAGCTGATCTCCCTGTGCTATGAGGCTGCTTCCCACTAGCTATCTGTTTTACATTTGGTAGTGTATATATGTCCATGCCACTCTCTCACTTCATCCCAGCTTACCCTTCCCACTCCCTGTGTCCCCAGGTCCATTCTCTACGTCTGCGTCTTTATTCCTGTCCTGCCCCTAGGTTCTTCAGAGCCTTTTTTTTTTTTTTTTTAGATTCCATATATATGTGTTAGCATACGGTATTTGTCTCTCTCTTTCTGACTTACTTCACTCTGTAGGACAGACTCTAGGCCCATCCACCTCACTACAAATAACTCAATTTCGTTTCTTTTTATGGCTGAGTAATATTCCATTGTATATATGTGCCACATCTTCTTTATGCATTTATCTGTCGATGGGCACTCAGGTTGCTTCCATGTCCTGGCTATTGTAAATAAAGCTGCAATGAACAATGTGGTACATGATTCTCTTTGAATTATGGTTTTCTCAGGGTATATGCCCAGTAGTGGGATAGCTGCGTTGTATGGCAGTTGTATTTGTAGCTTTTTAAGGAACCTCCATACTGTTCTCCATAGTGGCTGTATCAATTTACATTCCTCCCAACAGTGCAAGAGGGTTCCCTTTTCTCTACACCGTCTCCAGCATTTATTGTTTGTAGATTTTTTGATGATGGCCATTCTGACCGGTGTGAGGTGATAACTCATTGTAGTTTTGATTTACATTTCTCTAATGATTAGTGATGTTGAGCATTCTTTCATGTGTTTGTTGTCAATCAGTTTATCTTCTTTGGGGAAATGTCTATTTAGGTCTTCTGCCCATTTTGTTATCCTTTAAAAACTCCTATGTGTGTCATCACTAGTGGAGGATCTTACCATTTCATCTATGAAAGCTCACTGTTCTGACAGTATAGTAAATAGCAGTAAAGTAAGGATCCCCCAAAACGGAAATAGAAGGCAGAAAATGTCATAATGTGAAATGATAGAGGAAAAAGCTTCTACATTAAGGGAGGAGAGGAGGGGAAGGACAGAAAGAGACTGTGATGTAGTAAAATCATTCAGAAAATGGCAATTTTGGTGGTGGAAAGGCACCACATTTCACAAACATTTTATGAGAAAAAAAAGTGAAAAGTATCGACTCTGGAGAAACCCATCAAGTTGAGACATTTTAAAACAGATTCAGAAGTTTGCTGGACAAATAAAAGTATATTCAGTATTCAAGTATCATTTTGCCACCAATTTTCTCCACGGAACTGTGAAGCTACCTGGAGGCAACTGCACACAGTGAGCTTTAAAAGTGAGATGGTCCTCAGGTCTCCATCTCTTCCTTGCTGGACAGGCTCACTGCATTTGTATTCAAGTCCTTCGCTCAAGCCCAGTCATACATCTTTGTGGAGGACTCGCACATCATGAACTCCCTTACCTGGCTCTCACAGAAGCAAAAGGAAAATGGTTGTTTCCAGCGTTCTGGATCATTGTTAAACAATGCTATTAAGGTGATGCCTTTAAATTTGTTCTGGGCCCTGAGGACAGTGACATGTAGGAGCTACGATGCTCCTATTGATTCCTCAAGTCCTGGTGACATAGCTCTGAGAAGGAAAGTAGACTCTAAAGCTTCTGAAACCTAGCAATAAATTAGTTGTTTGTACTGAAAGAAAATAGCATGCCCCAAAAACTCCAATACATTAATAAAAGTGAGGGAAAGTGATTTGGGACAGATTTAAGAATTTTAGGGTGAAGGAGGAAGGGGAAAAATCAATAATACTGCCCAAGGAAAGATGCTTTCTAGTGGAGATGGCCAAGGGGAAAATAGAGTTAGCTGATTCTGGCTGATGAATACTGGAGTGTTTGAGTGTCTCTGCCTCTGATCCTTACAGGGTGGGGTAGACGATGAGGTGACGCTCTCTGCCTACATCACCATTGCTCTGCTGGAGATGCCACTGCCTGTCACTGTATGTACTACCACACTCCCTGGACCTCCCTCACAAATGTAAGGAATAAAACTCATGGAACTATGAATGTCTGAGGAAAATGAGTTGTGATTTTCATGTTATTTAATATTAGTATATTTCACTAGAGCATAAAGGATGACAGATCCTTTGGGAAGCTGCAAAGAAAATTACCCTCTGGTCAGACTGTGATGTTGCACAGGCACTTCGGGGCATTGAATCTAGGGTTACCCTGGAGGCAGTTCATTAGCCTGGTTCTATCTTAAGGTCCATCTTCTTTATAGCACCCAGTTGTCCACAGTGCCCTATTCTGCCTGGAAAGGGCCTGGGAGTCTACTTCAGAGGCCCAAGGAAGTCTTGTCTATACCAAGGCATTATTGGCCTATGCCTTTGCTCTAGCAGGAAACCAGGCCAAACGAAGTGAGCTGCTTGAATCACTAGACAAAGAGGCTGTAAAAGAAGGTAAGAGCTGCTACTGCAAAAGTGACTTCCAAAAATCACCAGTGATCAAAGAGAGAAGACCTATTAAATTCACACATATCATGCTTATATTCTATCCATTATATTATTATAAGAAGATGATGATGATTTATTATTGACCTAACACTTAAGGTCTCTGGGTGACATGGATCATTTTATCAATTCACACATTATAGACTTTAAACAGCCCAGCTTCTAATATCACACAAGTATGTAACATACACAAAGACACAATGTGATTTGCTAGAACCTCAATTTACTTTCATGGCAAAGATTAGCTTGATTGGTGATTATTTAATACTTTCACTTCATGTATGTCCATTCACTAGGTGAGCTCTAATTATAATGATCATTAATGAATTAGGTTTTGAAAATGTTCTCTAAGCTTAAGATTGTATCCTTTTTTATCTCAAAGAGGACTCAATCCACTGGCAACGGCCTGGGAAACCTCAAGAAGTTAATGCACTCTATTATCAACCCCGGGCTCCTTCTGTTGAAGTGGAGATGACAGCTTACACTCTCCTTGCCTATCTTACTGCCCAGCCTGCCCCATCTTCAGAAGACCTGTCTGTGGCTACACGGATTGTGAAATGGATCACCAAGCAACAAAACCCCAGTGGGGGCTTCTCCTCCACTCAGGTCTGTGAAGAGACTCTAGGAAGAAAAATAAATATACTAATACCCATGTAGACACAACCACATTCTAGGAGTTGAATAACTGCATAATGTTTCTAATTTATACTTTGTCTATTCCTCCATCACCAGAAAGGTTCCAGCCTCATTTTATATATGGATTATTTCTCTGTCCTCTGCACAATCTCTCATATTTTCTCTCCTTAGTGGATCCTCATCCCTAAAGTCGATCAACCTTCCTAAAGCAATGTTTTCATAAGATTACTTCCCTTGGGGACTTCCCTGGTGGTCCAGTGGTTAAGACTCCATGCTTCCACTGCAGGGGGTGCAGCTTCAATCCCTGGTCAAGGAACTAAGATCCCTCATGCTGCGTGGCATGGCCAAAAGGCTGATCCCTTCTCTTTTTCTGGAATTGGCTCACTCTTTTCTATGTCTTTACTACAACAACATTTCCCTCCCTGGTACTGCCTGATGCCTCTCTTCTGTCTTTATAAACCTTTCTCATTATTCAGAGATAATCTTATTTCTCACCTTCTTCACAGCATTTTCTTATTATGCTAGCTCCAATTTCTTCTCCATTCTCTGAATTTTTCCAACAAATGTTGTTATATAAATTTATAATTATTGAAATATCCTGTACATCAAATATTTGAGTCTCATTCCCATATGTACACTGTAAACTGCTTGAACAAGGAAACTTCATTTCCCCCAAAGTTCCTAGAATAGTTCATGATTAATAACCAGGTCTGAATTGACTTGAAATCCAGTGAATGAACTGTGTTTATGACTAAATAACTCTGAGAACAGTGTTGATGTGGTTTACATCTGGTATGATTTTGTTACCTTCCTCTCCTGTGCTTTCTGAACCCATCTTTTTTCAGGATACAGTGGTAGCTCTCCAAGCGCTCTCCAAGTATGGAGCAGCAACTTTCACTAAAAGGGAGAAAGCGGCTACAGTCACCATCAAGTCTTCAGAGACCTTCTCTGAAGAATTCCAAGTAGATGAAGGCAATCGCCTATTGCTGCAGGAGGTCGCTTTGCCAGAGGTTCCAGGGGAGTACAGCATGGCAGTGTCAGGGTCGGGATGTGTGTACCTCCAGGTGAGACTGCCAGGGTTCAGGCGATGCCACAAATGGGAGAACAAGTCTCAAGGATTCCATTTGAACTTCAAAATAGAAAAAGAAACATGTCCTAAGGGGAGGTATAAATCACGTAGAAGAGATAGACTATTTGAGTGTAAAAATAAAGGATTTTTTTCAATTTGTTTTAGACATCCCTGAGATATAATATCCTGCCCAAGAAAGAAGGAAAATCTCCCTTTACTCTGAAAGTTGATACTCTCCCCAAGAATTGTGATGGAGTCAATGCTCACAGCAAAGTCCAGATTCTCATCAACATTAGGTAAATCCTAAACCACTATGAGACATTTTGTAGAATACAGTGAAATAGAGTTTCTTGTGCAGGGGATCTTCACTGTCCAAGGTCGTACATAATAAACAAGAAATTCTTGCAATAGTTATTTAAAAGAAAATTTTCTTCAGTCTTACTGAAAAGCCTTAACATTGAGAATATGATGTTACCATACCTGCAGAGTATGCATTCATAATGAGTTTTCCAAACAACTATAGCAGAAGAAAATAGAGTAGATGGCAAAGCTGAGTGGTAGCCAGGGATAAGGAACGGTAGAAATAAAAGAGGAGAGACTTCTGTCTTGAATGAATTCCAAAGAATTTTGTTTGACTGCCTTGTCCCTATGCCTTGACTTCATAGTTATACTGGGGAACGACCCAGCTCCAACATGGTCATTGTTGATGTGAAGATGGTATCAGGCTTCATACCTGTGAAAGCATCAGTGAAAAAGGTAAACCCTAAGTTTCTTACAGATAGCAAAGTCATGGCAAATGCTGTCAATTTTATTTTGTTGATTCAGTTCTCCAAGAGGTTTATTCCCTCAAACTTGTTTCTCTAGTGTGTGTTTCCATCATTTTAAAAGTGGGCATCCTAGCTATGTGGTCTCAACTATAAGATATAAATCATAAACATGGTTAATAATGTTCCAGCAGGCCCTGGGACTTCTAGGAATGTGTAGTGCATTGAATTATCTTCCAACTATGTACAAAAAGAAAAAGGGAGACTATATCATATGTAATCATATACATATATTCTCCTTTTTTTAATATAGTTGGAAGATAATTCCCTCTCTAAATAGATGATAGATAGATAGATAGATAAGGAGGGTTTAATAAATATTACTTTTATTATTTTTATTATTATTACTATTATTCTTGAAGAAATCAAAATTAGTGTTTGGATGTCTCTGAGAAGCCATTTAGAACGTAAATACCTGAAAACTGCCTCAGCTGAAAGTTCCTCATCCCATATCTTTGGCCTTTCCTCTTGGTCAACAGCTCCAAGAAAGGCCTCAGATTCAAAGGACTGAAGTGAGCACCAACCACGTCCTGATTTACTTTGAAGAGGTAAGATTCTCTGTGATTCTGCTAGATCTGGAAGAACCACTACAGGTTCTAACAAACCAACCCAGGTTCCAAAGAGTGTATTTCACCTACACAACTTATCGTATTATAAAACTCCCTGGTATAGCATTTATGAATTGTGGGGAAAGAAAATAGCTACAGAGGGAAACGAAGCTGGGCCAGGTCAACAAAGCTCAATTTACTACATTTGACTGTCCATAGAATCGTCTTTTTACCCTTCTTTTATCTGTCATTGAGTGTATTATGCAAGTCTTAAAACCTCTCGTTCTTTCCACAGGTTTTGGTGCAGAGCACAGCATAAGTACAGGGTTTGATACTATCTTAAGAAAAGAGTAACTGAGTTAATCTTTGATTCCAATTCAGTTTTCCTGTCTCTCCAGCTAACGCATCAAAGCTTGAGTTTCTCCTTCTCAGTGGAACAAAACATCCCAATAAAGAATTTAAAACCAGCTACCGTAAAGGCCTATGATTATTATGAGACAGGTGAGTGGGATTCAGACATGCTGAGCCTTGAAAGGAAAAAGATGACTAACTAGGACAGGGTCACCTTAACTGAAAGAAAACTCCACAATCTTTCACTGGAAGAAAGAGTTGAGTTTATGATCACAGGATAAGCATATTCCTGTATATTAATCTGTCTTATGCCCCCAAACAAGTATTAGAATCATTCTTATAAATTGATCATAAAGCAATAAGGGGATCAATTTTTTCTAAATTCCCCTATGACGTTTTTTCTGGACTGAATTATTCCAGAAAGAAAAGAAGGGTGGCAATAACTAAAAATGTGTGATATGAGACCCAAAATTTGTTCTGTTTTTGATTTGGGCCTCAGATAGTTTCACAAATTTTGGGAAACTTTGTATAATATGTCAGGAAATTCTTCCATTTGCGCATGACTTTGAAGCAGAAACTTACCAGTATCTTAGCATGCTGGTAGTGTTCAAACTTTACTCTTTCTTAGAAAAGAAAAGGTTCAGAGAGGAACGTACAACTCCAATAAGAAAAACATAGTTGTGAAAAAGGGCTATACAGTGTCCTATAGAAAGACAGTTATCCATTTGTGAAATCTGCCCCTCAACTTTATGTCCAAGGCCAATTTTCTCTTGCTCCTCACTAACCAATCCCAAAAGGCTTAGTACAGAAGTAAGTCCTTTTATTGGCTCTGTAACTGTGCTTTATACTTTCTTTCGTAGCTTACACACTTTATTTACAATTAACCATTCATGTGCCTATTACTGAATGTCTTCACTTTGTCTCATCATTTTTGCATTTCAGAGGAATTCACCATTGAAGAGTACAGTGTTCCCTGCAGTGCTGGTAAAGTATAAACAGTAAAATCTAATGCCAACAAAAAGAAAATAAATAAAATATGTGTTGTCTGTGTAAAGCTGCTTCTTGAGCATATCCTTACCATATTATAAAACTCCTTGGTAAATCATTTATGAATTGAACTATCTAAAATGTATTATAGAATTTCACAGTAGAAAAAAAATGCAAGTAAAATATAATTACTGGTGTCTGGGTTGACTTGTTTGAAGATGAATCCAGGAATTTGCCACATATAAAAGGGAAATCATCTAATATTTAGTTTATGTTTCTATACTCAGTGGTGATATATTTATTACCCACGGCCTTTCTGGGATGTTTCTAAACTTATACTAGTTAAAGTCAGGAAACTGTTCACTATAAATTATCCATATAACACAGCACAAGAGAGGTGATCTACAAGACCTTCGTTTAGGCTGATTGACAGTGTTCATCTTTGACAATACAACACTTGCTGTGAGACCTTCCACTTTCCACTTTAAAACATGAAAAAACTGAGAACAACCTTATCATTAAAAATAATTAAACTTATTAAGTTCAAATATTTAGAATTAAAATATGAAAAATTATTCCTTTATTAGATCGCAAAATTTCCCTAATATTTCTAACTTTTCTTCTACTGTTTAGCATCTGAACACGGAAATGCTTAAAGATGGAAACTTACAAACTTCATCAGATGAACTTTTCCAGAAATGAGGAACAAAGACTTATCAGGAGAGAAAATAGTGGGAGAAAGAAGGGACGGGAATTGGAAGTATATGAAATTTATGTGTCGAATAAATTTATGACATTTACAACTCTATCTTTTCTTTTGTTCTTTATCAATGTTATATTTCCCTTCTGAAATACATATCCATTCTCCACAGTGTTTTTTCTTGGTTGTAGGTTCTTCCCTTTCATCACTTTAACTATATCATGCCATTCCCTTCTGGCTTGTAGAGTTTCTGCTGAGAAATCAGCTGTTAACCTTATGGGAGTTCCCTTGTATGTTATTTGTCGTTTTTCCCTTGCTGCTTTCAATAATTTTTCTTTGTCTTTAATTTTTGTCAGTTTAATTACTGTGTGTCTCAGCATATTTCTCCTTGGGTCTATCCTGTATGGGACTCTCTGTGCTTCCTGGACTTGGGTGGCTATTTCCTTTCCCATGTTAGGGAAGTTTTCGACTATAATCTCTTCAAATATTTTCTTGGGTCCTTAATCTGTCTCTTCTCCTTCTGGGATCCCTATAATGCAAATGTTGTTGCATTTAATGTTGTCCCAGAGGTCTCTTAGGCTGTCTTCAGTTCTTTTCATCCTTTTTTCTTTATTCTGTTACATGGCAATGAGTTCCACCATTCTGTCTTCCAGGTCACTTATCTGTTCTTCTGCCTCAGTTATTCTGCTATTGATTCCTTCTAGTGTAGTTTTCATTTCAGTTATTGTATTGTTCATCTCTGTTTGTTTGTTCCTTAATTCTTCTAGGTCTTTGCTAAACATTTCTTGCATCTTCTCGATCTTTGCCTCCATTCTTTTTCCGAGGTCCTGGATCATCTTCACTATCATTATTCTGAATTCTTTTTCTGGAAGGCTGCCTATCTCCACTTCATTTAGTTGTTTTTCTGGGGTTTTATCTTGTTCCTTCATCTGGTACATAGCCCTCTGCCTTTTCATCTTGTCTATCTTTCTGTGAATGTGGTTTTTGTTCCACAGTCTGCAGGATTGTAGTTCTTCTTGCTTCTGCTGTCTGCCCTCTGGTGTATGTGGCTATCTAGGAGGCTTGTGCAATCTTCCTGATGGGAGGGACTGGTGGTGGGTAGAGCTGGGTGTTGCTCTGGTGGGCAGAGCTCAGTAAAACTTCAATCCGCTTGACTGCTGATAGGTGGGGCTGGGTTCCCTCCCTTTTGGTTGTTTGGCCTGAGGCAACCCAACACTGGAGCCTACCTGGGCTCTTTGGTGGGGCTAATGGCAGACTCTGGGAGGGCCAAAGGAGTACTTCCCAGAACTTCTGCTGCCAATGTCCTTATCCCCATGGTGAGCCACAGCCACCACCCACCTCTGCAGGAGACCCTCCAACACTAGCAGGTAGGTCTGGTTCAGTCTCCCCTGGGGTCACTGCTCCTTCCCCTGGGTCCCAATACGCACATTACTTTGTGTGTGCCCTCCAAGAGTGGAGTCTCTGTTTCCCCCAGTCCTGTTGAAGTCCTGCAATCAAATCCCACTAGCCTTCAAAGTCTGATTCTCTGGGAATTCCTCCTCCCATTGTCGGACCCCCAGGTTGAGAACCTGACGTGGGGTTCAGAACCTTCACTCCAGTGGGTGGACTTCTGTGGTATAAGTGTTCTCTAGTCTGTGAGTCACCCACCCAGCAGTTATGGGATTTGATTTTACTGTGATTGCGCCCCTCCTACCATCTCATTGTGGCTTCTCCTTTGTCTTTGGATATGGGGTATCTTTTTTGGTGAGTTCCAGTGTCTTCCTGTCGATGAGTGTCCAGCAGCTAGTTGTGATTCTGGTGTTCTCACAAGAGGAAGTGAAAGCACGTCCTTCTACTCCACCATCTTGGTTCCTAATTGCCCACAGTGTTTTTTAAAACACTGAAAAATCATGCAAAGAGGTATAAGCAAAGAAACTATAGATAAATCAAAATGAAATTTTAAAAAATGTTCAAGTAACCCACAGGAAGGTGGGGAAAAGAAAACAATATTTCCAAATATTGGAAACAACCAAAACGTCCATCAGTAGGTGAAAGGTTAAACTACCTGTGGTACATTCATACTATGGAATACTAGTCGGTAATAAAGAGGGACAAAGTACTGATACACGCAACAACTTGGATGGATCTCCAAAACATTACACTGAGTGAAAAGAAAGACAATTTCAAAAGGTCATACTGTGTGATTCCTTTCATATAACATTCTTGAAATGGCAAAATCATAGAAATGGAAAATAAATTGGTGGTTTCCAGGCTTTATGGAGGCTAGAGCCAGTGGGGAGGGATGTGACTTACAAAGGGATAGCATTAGAGAGACCTTTGTGGT